AGATTTCAAAGGCTGTGAATTGTATAGGAGGAAATGGCCCATCTTTCTGCCTTAGAGTCTCTGGTGGATTAGGAGTATAAGCCACCAGAGCTCTCTCATTACGATTTACAGCCTCAGAAACTCAGTGGGGGATATTGTGAGACAACAGCGAACTCAAGGCTTGCAAAATAGGGTGTTTAAAATACCCAGTAGAATTTAGTAACTTTGTGGAAAGTGATTGATGTCAATTAAGTGGCTGTGGCCTACCAAGGGAGCTCTAGTGGCCTAGTGGTTTGAAGCTGTGCTGCAACCACAAGGCATGCAGTTCAAATCCACCAGCTTCTCCATGGGAGAAGGATGCGTAATCTCCTCCTATGCAATTAACTGCCTCTGAAAACCTGCTGGAGGGTCAGCTATAGGCCAGTTCCGACTATACAGTCAACAACAGTAATGGCCTACAAAGGGGATTGCTCAGTTTTTGGTCTGGTGAAGAATCAAGACTTGAAACTGACAAGAAATGGACTTACACGAGGGTCAATTCACAGAGGTTTAAGGGGACTCCACATCAAGAAGAGCCTGGACCTGAGGCCTCTGTGCTGAGAAGCTGTTAGATATAGAATAGTGAATGGTAACATTGAAGACTGCAAGAGACAGTGTAAGATGATGAAGCAACGCCTGTGGTGGAAACCAGGATACAAGACAGCTGCGAGGGTCTTGCCAACCCTCCGAATGAGAGAGCTGAGCACCCCCAAGCAGGTTTTCTGGCAGAGTAGGGTGCATTCAGGCACTTGTAGAGCTGAGGAGCTGTAACACTTGCCATAGTAGTGCATAGCTCAGCGAAGGCTCAGCAGTGGGCATGGCCAAGAGAAGGGCCATCTGCCTGCCAGTCATGGCCAAGAAGCTGAGAGCTCTCTTGGTAAGAAGCTGTCCTCATTAAAGGATTGTATCCTGTCTCCTGAGTTAGATCGTGTTACTTTTTAATTGATCCTGATCCCATGTTATAACTTGTAACTTCTATAATAAACAACAACCAAAAAAAGACAAATATGGTCTTCAGGTTTTATGTAACCATTGCAGTTAATTACTGAACCTGGCAGAGAAGTAGAGAGTGCCATGGGGAGGACAGCTGGTGTCAGAAAGGTAAAAAGTTGAATGTGGAGTTTTCTGTCATCCACCTCATAGCAGACAGCTCTGTGCTGAGCTTGATTGCCATCCTTCCTCAGGAATTTACACAAGTTCTGATGCTGCTAGATGCCAACTTCTGATTTACTTCTTTCATATCCATCTAGACCCGAGGCTTCTTAAAGACAGAAGCTACCTTTTAGGTAGCCTAGGACAACTGACTAGTCCTTCCCAGTTGACACATTCCTTTCTTAGCTACAAATACCCTCTCTGCAAATGTCCACTCTTTTTCTGCCTGGCTTGCTGAGTGCCACTGCAAGGTAGCTCTGTGTAGCACTGCCAGCACATTATGTTCATCTTATGAGTCCTTTTCCAAAAGGCAGGCTTTTTCAGGCTCTTCACTACTGCTTATCTTTGCCTCTTAAATGAGGCTCTGGCACCTGAGATACCATTGCTGATGTCACATGAAGCCTGGCTAAAAGTAAAGAATACCCGAAAACATCTATTTATGCTTTATTAACTACACAAAGGCATTTGACTGTGTGCATCATAACAAGTTATGGCTAACATTGAGAAGAATGGGAGTCCCAGAACACTTAATTGTGCTTATGTGAAACCTGTACCTAAACCAGGAAGGTGCTGTGCAAACAGAGCAAAAGAACACTGTTGTTGTTGTTGTTGTTATGTGCTGTCGAGTCACTTGTGACTCACACAACAGCTTAGAACCCTGTTCTGTCTTGAGCCAGTCTTACTGTCTCTGATACACCTACCCCCATTACCCCAGTCACTGAGTCAATCCAATCCATCTCATCAAGGGTCTTCCTCTCTTGTGCTGTCCCTCTACCCTCCCAAGCATGATGTCCCTCTCCAAGGACTAGTCCCTCCTTGCAACATGCCCAAAGTATGTCAGATGGAGCTTCAAAATCCTTGCCTCCATGGAGCAGCCTGGTTTCACCCTCTCCAAGATGAACCTGTTTGTTCTCCTAGCAGTCCATGGTATATTCAGTACTGTGCAGCACCACAACTCAAAGGCATCAATTCTTCTTCTATCATCCTTAGTCATTTTCCAGCTCCCTGATGCATAGCACATAATTGCTAGGACATAGCCTGAATCAGGCACACTACATGGTTTAAATTAGGAAGAGAGTGTGTCAGGGCTGTATTCCCTCTCTTTACTTATTCAGTCTGTATGCTGAGCAAATCTTCAAAAAGCAGGACTCTAGGAAGAGGAATGTGGCATCAGGATTGGAGGAAGACTTATGAATAACCTGTGTTACGCAGATGACACAACCTTGCTTGCTGAAAGTGAAGAGGACTTGAAGCACTTGTTGCAGAAGATCAAAGAATACTACCTTCAATATGGATTCCATCTCAATGTCAAGAAGACAAATATTCTTGACACCAGACTGATAGGCAGCATCATGACAGATAGAGAAAAGATTGAAACTGTCAACAACTTCCTCTTACTTGGATCCACAATTAATACTTTAGTACCAGAAGTCACAAAATCAGGAGACATATTACACTGGGAAAGTCTGCAGTTAGGGATCTCTCCAAATTATTGAGGAGTAATGATGTTATTTTGAGGATTAGGGTGCATCTGATTCAGGCCATGGTCTTTCCTATCCCTTGCTATGCATCTGAAGGCTGGACAATGGCTAAGTATGACAGAAGGAGAATTGATGCCTTTGAGCTGTTGTGTTGGAGAAGAGCACTGAATATCCCATGGATGGCCAAAAGAACAAACAAATATATCTTGGAGAAAGTTCAGTCAAAGTGCTTTTTAGAGGCTTAGATGTTGAGGCTTTGCCTCACATACTTGGTGCATGTTGCTAGGAGGGGCTATTCGTTGGAGAGGGACATGATGCTTATAGAGGTCAGCGATGGAGAAGACCCTCAACCAGGTGGATTGACACAATGACTGCCACAGTGGGCTCTGGTGTGCCAGAAAGTGTGAGGATGGCACAGGATAGGACAGGGTTCAGATCAGTTGTTTGTAGGGTCACTTTGGGTCATACTTGACTCAGTGGCACCCAACAATAACAATATTGTTCCTTCATTGATTCCACAAGTATTTACTGAGTGCCATCTTTATGCCAGACATTGTATCAAAGGGCTATTTATTTTATCTATATAAAATGCATCCAGTAAGAAGGAGTGTTATAAAGTATCCAGTATCCAAAACATGGATGTGACTCATTTGGGGCTTTTTGGTACCCCCAGAAGATAGCCAAATGGCTTGAAATCTGACCAGAGGCCTTACAGATAGACTGAAGTGTCTATTCATTCCAGTTATGATTAAACTTGGTGAATTGTCCCATTCCTCCAAGATAGTCAGTGAACTTCTCTATTAATAGGAATACTTTAATATACCCTGGAGTGAGAAAAGAACAAATCTGTCTTAAAGGGAATGCAACCAGAATGCCCCTTAGAGGCGAGGGTGGTGAATGAACCTTGGTCTCACTCACTTTGGGGGTATTTTCAGGATGAACAAGTCCTTATCATGCTGGGAAAGCTTGGTGAAAGAGAGGAAAACCCTCAATAAGAAAGATTGATGTGGTAATTTCCATAATGGACTTGAACATGACAAAGATTGTGAGATGCTTCAGGACAGGACAGGGTTCAGATCTGTTGTTCATAGGATTGTTTAGACGTAATTAATTTTATGTCACCTGCAATACACAACAACAATAAGAACAATAGTGTCTACCAGGCTCAAAGTGGGCAAAGTATCACTCTGCTTTTGACAAGAATTTTATCAACTAAGGACCCGCATCCATGTCCCTCACTCATTGCCATTATGTCAGAACCTACTCACAGCTGACCTCCAGTAAATTTTCAGGGGCAGTAAACTGCACAAGAGGAGATGGTCCATCTTTCTTCCAAGGAGAGGCTGGTGGAGTCAAACTGCCAGAAAGTTTTGAATGTAACAGTGACTAAAGGGGAGGGGAGGAAGAACCCTTCAAAAGCTCATGATCATTTCCTTTGCCATTTGAAGATGGGACACTCTCCTATATTGTGCATTTTTAAGACTTTTCAACAGAATGATAAAGGGAGCGCTGGCGGCTGGTAAGGAGTTGCACTGACAATTCCAAGGTACACAGTCCAAATCCACAAGGTGCTTCCTGGGAGGAAGATGAGCAGTGTCCTCCTGAGGGATTAACAGCCTGTGAAAACCCGCTGTCGGGTCAGCTATGGGTCGGTTCCAACTCAGTGGCACACACCAATGACAGAATAATGAGGCCGAGGTTCTTTATGCCTTTCAGGCTTACATACTGGATCCTAAAAAATTTGTACTTGGAAATTGACTCTGATAGCTACAGTCCCAAGTAGTTAAAATTCTTTCACACAACTTCACTATGTGAGCAAGGAAGAAGTTTCTCTAAAGAACACTGCCTCGTGTGAGAGCTGAGGGGACAGAAGTGGGTGTTTACTAGTTCCTAAGGAACGCAAGGGAGCATGATTGAAAAGAGCATCATGTTGGGTGCAGTAGGCCAGCAAATGTGAGGGAAACCCTTTTTGAGGTGGAGTGACACAGTGACCGCAGCATGGATTCAAGCATCCTGGAGATGGCACCAGGTCTCTAGTTCTGTCATGTTTAAGGTCACCATGGGTTGGAGTCACTTTAATAGCAACAACATGATTAAAGGAAAGGAAAAACTGACTAAAAGGGAAAGATTGTTACAGGCTGGCCATAGAAACATGGCCATTGGGCCATCAGTTAGGGACCTGGGGCTTTTAAGATCACAAAGATTAAGAGGAGAGTTTTCATTCCAGAAGACCTGGTGGGAGCTTGAAAAGAAATACCTTAGTATCTGGAAAATATTCCAACCAATTCACAAATATCATTCTCACCCATTAGTTTCTTATTCTTGACTCTGTTCCCTTGTTCTCTACAGATGGAAACCGAGCTGGAGCGTTTCCATAAGCAGAATACACAACTGGAGCTGAACATCACAGAATTGTGGCAGAAATTAAGAGCCACTGATCAGGAGATGCGCAGAGAGAGACAGAAGGTGTGAGGACTTTGAGTCTGGCATATCTTGGATCCAGAATCTGGCGCCTTCTGCAGAGGGCAGCTGGCATCAGAGAGCTAGAGCCAGCCCAGTGCTGAGATCCACTTCCCATTTTAATTCACACTCACTACTTGCTTATAACACTGTCTGATTTCAAGCCCATGTAAATTTACTTAACTAAATCCAACTGATGCTGTGGAATGGCTTTCAGTAAAGTGATCAAAGGGTGGGGAGCCCCTTTTATAAGAATGTTCATAGCAGTTGGGCTGTATGGCCGGGTGGTGGTGGGGGGATCACACACACATGCTAAGAGAAGTTGTGTGTAGGCTCTGGTTAAAGGCTTTGATTACCAAAGAATGGCCCTAGAGGGTAAGGATTTGCACTGCCAACCCAAAAGCAGTCAGTTCAAATCCACCAGTTTCTCCCTTGGAGAAGGGTGGGCAGCCTTCTCCCATGTGATCCAAACCTCAGAAAAACTGCTGGAGGTTCAACTGTGAGTTGGTTCCAGCTCCGTGGCATACAACAACAACAGCAGAAGGCCCTCAGAGAACCTCGGTAACACATGGTTAACATTTTCAGCTGTTAGCTAAAAGGTTCATATTAACCCAGAGGCAAAGCAAAGCCTGACAATCTACTTCTAAAACATTAATTCCTTCTTTAGCTCTTATTTAAGATTAAAGGGAAAAAAAGGATAAAACATGTTGTTTTGTACTGTTAACGTTGGAACCAACTCATAGCTGCCCCTTCAACAGATTTTCAGAGGTAATAAATCACACAGGGGGAGAACTGTGTGCCTTTAGATCAGCAACACACTCCTTCCCGCTGAGCCACTGGAGCTTCAAAACACGAGCCACTGAAAATCCCATGGAGCCAGTTCTACTTCAGTAGATGTATTTGAAGTTGCCATGAGTGGGATCAATTCAGAGGCAACTGAACTAGAGAATGACCTCAAAGATCACCTGTTTTAGTATCTCTCTGTGTGATGCATGAGGAAAATAAGGCCAGGACCCGTAACTAGTTAGTAATCAAAGAGCTAGTACAAGAAATTAGGTGTTCTTGGGGCAGGAATACCAGCAACAACTTCTATTTTTAATCAGCTTTATTTTTCCATCCTCCACATTAAGCATTGATTCTGCACTGTTGTTATTAGGTGCTGTGGGCTTGAATATGACTCATAGTAACTCTATGAACAACAGGTCTGGACCCATTTCTATCTGGGCTGTCCTTATCATCTGTGATATACTTACAGTCACTGTGTCAGTCTGTCTTGTTGAGGGTCTTCCTCTTTTTCATGGACCCTCCACCTCTCCAAGCATTTATTGTTTTTGTTGTGTGCCATGGCATCAGAACCAACTCATTAGCCGACCCTCCAGAGGGTTTTCAGAGGCTTTAAATTATGCAGGAGGAGACTGCTCATCTTTCTCCCACAGAGCAGCTGGTGGATTCAAACTACATACTTTAGGGTTGGCAGCACTGCTTCCTACCACTAAACTACCAGAGCTCCCTCCCCTAGGTAATACTGGAAGTTTCAAGGATCCTACCCTCTGCAGACATAAAGTGTGATAGGTAATTTGTGTCAGGTATAAAATAATACAGTGTGAAAAAACAACAAAAGAGGTATGGAAAAAGGAGAAAGATGAGGCTTTTCTCTAGATCAGATGAAGGAGATGAGAATCAGAGAAGGCCTGATGGAAGAGAGTCCACTAGGCCACATTTGCAGATGAATCAGTCTGCTTGGATTTTGTTAGTGGTGTTTTAAAGTTGTTTTGGGTTTTTTTGTTGTTGTTGTTGTTAGGTTTTTCGTTGTTGGTTTTCCTCCTCCATTGTCTTAATTCCTTGTGTTTCTGTAACAGAAATAATACAAGTAGATGGGATAGCTCTAACAAACTGTTTTCTCACCATTTAGGATACTGTTGTTGTTGTGTGCCATCGAATCAGAATTGACCCTCCAGCGGGTTTTAAGAGGCACATCTCCCTCAGAGCAGCTGGTGGCCTTGAACCACAGACCTTTGGGATTACAGCACAGCTTCTTGCCACTAGGCCACCAGAGCTCCCTCTTTAGGATATTTGTTGTTGTTGTTATGTGCCGTCAAGTCGTCAAGTCGCTTGCGCATAGCAGGTCCAAATTCAGATGACTGGCTCTAGAGGAAGGCTCTCTGTTCACTCTGAATTTTTAAAAACTCACCATCATCAAGTCAGTCTAGACTCATACTGACCCTCCACTGGGTTTCCAAAGCTGTAAATCTTAACAAGAAGAGACTGCCCCTTTTTGGCCCTGGAGCCGCTGGTAGATTGGAACTGCGTGGATCCATGCAGCCTCTTGGTCAGAAGTGCAACACTCGATGGACTACACCACTAGAGAGGTCTGGTCTGAGGAAAAAGCTTTGTCCTGGTTTCTGTAACCCCAGCATTCTTCAAATCCGTGGCATCTCTTTGCCCTATTTGTGCTTGCTTCTCTCTGTCTAATCTGTTCTTTTATGTCTCAAAATATCGTTAGGTTTAAGGCATCGGAGAAACCTTTGTTTCCCAATAGGTTTGCATCCCAGGAATGTTGTTGTGAGGTGCTGTCAGATCAGCCCTGTGGCCCTGTGTACAACACAGCAAGGCTGCAGTTCTGACCGTCCTCACCATCTCCACTGTTCTTAAGCCCAGAGTTGCCCTCACTGTCAGTCCATCTCATTGAGGGGCTGCTTCTTTGTCTCTGATTCTCAACTTTTCCAAGCATGATGTCTTTATCTAGTGACTAGCGTCTCCTGATCATGTGCCCAGAGAATGTGAGGTTAAGTCTTCTCATCTTCTGAGGAGCACCTGACTTCACATCTTCTAAGACAGATTTGTTTCCATAGGGATTAGGATCCCAGCACCTTCATTGGGGGCGGGCACAACTTAGTCCATAACACCCACCATCCCAGCAGTCCTCTTGTCTGTCTGAAAGGGGTAAACTGGATGAGCTCCTAATAGGGAGATATTTGAGATAACCTTAATTGTCATTTTGGATCAAAAAGGAATATAGGTGACCACCTGAACATTTTTCAGCTTTTAAGTCCTACACCCCTAAAATGAATCCAGAACCAATAAAGGAAGCAATCGATGCCCTCTCAGGAGGAAGCACCATCTCAGGTAACCAGGCCAGGTGCCCAGCTCCAGGGCAGGTGCACCAAAGACCTAGTGCCTCCCTCCATCTGTCAGCTATGTACCTCTGTGTCTGTGCCCAGCATGGCCTCTGCTGGTCATCTTTGAGGTCTCAGACGAGCTGCCTCTTCTCCCTTCTTGTTACCATTGGCTTTGCTTGTAGCCCTTGCCCCTACACCTGGAGAAGGGCCTGCAGCAATCTGAAGTCGATGTGCCTGCCTCTGGTTGCAGGAGCGAGACTTGGAAGCCCTGGTCAAACGGTTTAAGACTGACCTACATAACTGCGTGGCATATATCCAGGAACCCCGGCTGTTGAAGGAGAAGATCCGAAGTCTCTTTGAAAAGTACGTGCAGCGGGCAGACATGGTGAGCTCAGCCTTCCCTCTCCAGCCCGCCTCCCTCAGGTCTCCCTCCTGGCTCAGCCTGGCTGAATGTGCCCTTGGCCCTACCAGGTAGAGATTGCAGGGCTCAACACCGACCTGCAGCAGGAGTATTCCCGGCAGCGGGAGCATCTGGAGCGGAACCTGGCCACACTCAAGAAGAAGGTGGTCAAGGAGAGTGAGCTGCACCGCACTGACTATGTCCGCATCATGCAGGTACTTGCTTCGTTCCCCCTCACTCACTCTGGACTAGAGGCCAAAACCAGGACCCCACCTGGGTCACTCAGCCTCAGTCCTTCACAAATGTGCAAAGGACCTTCCCCTAAAACCTCTCTCTCTTCCCTCACCTCCCAGAGCTCATCCTGACTGTGGACCCTGAGCCCCATCAAAGCGGTTTTCTAGGCACTTGCATGCTCACTCTCTGCCCCACCAGCACCTGTTTGTTTGCTTCCTCTCACTTGACAGTCTCCACTGTATCTTTTTCCTGCCCCAATCTTTCTCCATTGCAGTTGAGTGTCCTGCTTCACTCGTCTCCTTGACCCCTCTTCCCTCTGGACTTTTTCTGCTCTCCTGAGTCACTCTTGATCTGTTCCCCTTCTCGTTTTTCCAACTCTTATTTCACGTTGCTCTGTTTTACAGCTTTTTATTCTGCTATTCTTATCATGTGATAGCTCCTCTGAACACACCCATCTCCACCTGCCTCATCTGATCCAGCCACCTCCTGTCTCTTATCTCTTGTGACCAGACCTGACCACACCCAACAGGGAGTCCACTCACTCTTGGGTTTAATGAGCTCTCCACACCCACCTCCCAGGGTACTTCTGGGGCTGTTCTGAGAGCCTGACCCCATTACTGGCTGCCTCCACTTAAGCACATTATCAAGACTGCCAGTCAGGATTCTTCTGCCAGATTTCAGTTGAGTATCAGTATCGTCTGAGGCAATAATGTGAATTACTATCAAAAGAGAACATCAAGCATCACAATTATGAGGCACATAACATTCTATGTTTTTATCTCCATAATGCCACAATTAAGATACTGGAATGGGGATGCCTGTAGTTGGAAGAAAACAAACCAGTTTCCATCTTGGCCAATCTACACACAGCTGAGCAGAAGACACTACAGCTCAGGCCGGGCAAGGCAAAGATCGGAACATCCATGCCTTGTGCCGTCTTAAAACCAGCCCACACCATCAACCCAGGACCCTGAATACAGATCCAACTCATTGGACCATCATACACCAGCAGCTGATGCACAGAGCAATTGTTTGGAGCCTCAGGTCCCCCCATTTAAAGAGTCAGCCCACGGGGACTATGCAGTAGGACTAGGGCTCACTGCATAGCAGGTATCAGCTAGTGACGTGTATGCTCTCCCCTCTGTAGGCCTAGGAGGTCTTCCCAGAGTCTGGCTTCCTCTCTCCATGCCAAGTGGACACCCAAAGCAAATGTCATTCCTAAGAGAACAGGGGGGAAAGTGGAAGCTAGAGTCTAGCCAGAGGGTGCAGAAATTACCCCAAAGATATCAAGAGAGGCATGATACTCTCATTGGTTCCCTTGGCCCTGTTCTGCTGGACCCATGTAGGAGTTAGAGCTACTCAGAGAACAGGAGTCTCAAACAGTGCTCCTGTTCAGCCCTACTGCTTACTGATGACTGGGAAAAGGAGCAATCAGCAAAGGAAAATCTCCAGAAGAGTTTGTTCTAGAGCAGCGTGAGTGTGTGCTGTGGAGCCATGAACGTCCATAGACATACCACAGAGAGCTACAGGGAGTGAGAGGGGACCCTAAAGGCAGGGCTGTACAACCCTAGCTCCTCAGCAAGAGGCTCACTCTATTATGTTGGTGCTCTTGATTTGCAAACAGCTTGGAAAATTAAAAACAACACAGACTTTCTAGATGACTTTAAAAAAAATTCCTTGATTTTAAAGAGCCAGGCAAGATATTGGACCATGCAGGCAAACCTAAACTGAGAGAGAGCTTCCATCTATTGTGGTGAAAAGGTCATGGGCGCCCTGTCCTTGTACAAGCCCCAGTTTGCCCTGCCTCGACCACCTTTTGCCAGGAGACCTTGGGTAAATTCCCCACTTTTCCAGGCACCACCCTCCCTATCTCTCAAATGAAGGAGAAAGCACCAGTCTCAGTGGGTTATGACAAAAATGAAATAGCATAACCTGTGTAAAGCACCGAGGGAGCTCTGGTGGCCTGGTGGGTGAGGAATTGTCCTGCTGACTCAAAAGCAGGTGGTTCAAATCCACCAGCTGCTTTCCAAGAGAAAGATGGGCAGTCTACCCCTATATGATTTACAGCCTCTGAAAACCCACTGGAGGGTCAGCTATGAGTCAATCCTGACTCAACAGCAAAAGAGAGAGAATGTAACACACTGAGAACTGACCAGCAACAAATAAACCAGTTGCTGCTGAGTTGATTCTAACTCATGAAGACCCCGTGTGTGTATCAGAGTAGAATTGTGCTCTGTGCAGTTTTCAGTGGCTAATTTTTCATAAATAGATCACCAGGCCTTTCTTTCAAAGTACCTCTGGGTGGGTGCAAATAGCCAGCCTTTCACTAAGCAGCCTTTTAGTTAACCATTTGTGTTTCCTAGAGTCTTGGTTTCTTTCTCTTAGGTTAGGGAATAGAATAGATGCCCCCAAAATGCTGCTACTCTTCTTTTTTAAAGGAACGGTCCAAGAACCATGGTGGAAACCCAGTGAGGGATCCTGAATAACCAGGGGCGTCGATGGGGTGAGGACACAGGCGTGGGGCAGCACAACTGATTTCAGACCCCCAGGGGTTGCCTAGGATCTTGATATGCTCCATGGGTGTTGGCTAGCGTTGTCCTAGGAGCTATCTGAAGGTGCCCCTGCAGGTACCAGGACCCCAGCACTTCATTCCAGGAGACTGACAAAGGCCAGGACAGACCTGGCATCTGAGAGAAATCCATTAGAAAATAACTGCCACAATGAGGTCACTGTCTTATTTGTATATTCAGATAGAAACACAGGGCCTCCCCACTCAAGCATTCTACAGCATACTTGCCGATAATGGTTGCCATGGAGCACAAACATTTCACATATACACATTATTCATTCAGCACACATTCTTTGAGGGCCTCGTACATGCATAGCTCGGCTAGCCCTGGAGGATTCCACTATTAATATGATCATGTTTGCCATTCGTGGGTGATGCAGGTGGTTAATGTACTCAGATGTTAACCAAAAGCCAGAGGTTCAAATACACCGAGAAAATGCCTTGGCGCGGGGGGGGGTGGGGGGAGAGTGATCTAGTTTGGTGGTGTTGTTGTTGTTAAATCAGCTACTAATGACTTTATGGGACATAGTTCAACTGTAGGCACATATGATGTCCTCAGGAATCAATATCAACTCAACAGTGATGGCAACCAGTTACTGCCCTCAGGAGCTCATATCATTTGACTTGAAGCAAATACACATAATCACTGTGGCCAAGAGGGACCAGCACTTAGGTAAGGCTATCAAGCTTGAAAGGACGGAGGGACAGCGCAGGAGAAGAAAGCCCTGAATGGGTTATCACAGTAAGAAGGATTATTGGAGGTCTGTGTTGGACTTAATGAGACTGGCTCAGGATAAGGCAGACTTCAGAGCTATTGTCTATAGGGTTGCTTTGAGTCACAGGGGACTCTATGACACATAACAACAATATAAGTATCCATTGCTGTGCTCATCTTATTAACGGGGTTCAGTTACATCACATAGAAGTGTTTCTGAGAGGAAGTGACATTTGAACTGTGTTATGAAGGAAGAATAGTGGTGGTCACAGAGTAATTGGTAAAAGAGTCCTCTAGACAGGAGAACAACTAGAAAAAACAGAGGAGGCCTGTGGGATGTTTGGAGGCCCATGCGTCATCTCACCTGGCCAAGTGGGGGCATGGAGAAAGAACCCACTGCAAAAGTAGGGACTTTCAAATCGATCATGATGAGAAGGGCTTTCTAACCAAACCAAAGAACATAAATGTTATGGACGGATGCCACCCAGTATTTTCTTTGAGGTAGATAAGGATGCTCATTTTATTTTGAAAAGTTAACAACTGAGTTTGAAGCATGGCTGGAAAACCCGGTAGGAGATAACTGTTGGGTTAGAGAAGATGAAGAGGCTTGGGAGGGGGTAGTCTGTGACATCAGAAGCCATTTTGGGATAGAAATGGCAAATAGAAATGTCAGGTCAGACTTAAGAAGATGGAAAGAGAAACAGAGAAAGATTCCAGGATCGCTCATTTGTGCAGTTAGGTATATGACGACAATACTATGAGTTCCAGGAAGATGTCACTGATGCAAGGTTGTCAAGTCCACAGACTCAATCTGTTCCCTGCTTTTCCCACACTGTCAAGCCCTGTTATTCAAGGTGTCAACTCAGAGCAGATCAATAGGGGGCGCTGTAGGCATTCGCTTCTCTAACATGGATTGTTGGTATTAAAAATCTGCCAGGTCTTTCAGTCACTTTCTGACTTTGGCCCTCTGGCGTCTTTCCCAGCCAAAGGCAGTCCTCTGACAGTTTGGTGCAGCACTGTATTTAGAAAACTTTCTATGTCATTTATAAGACATTAAGGAGTTAGTGGTAGGAGTCTCACCTTACATGCAGGAAACTCGGTTTTGAGCCTTAGCCACCGCCCATTTTGCAATGAAGGCTTATGGGTTGCTGTGATGCTTAATACACTTCAGTTGCGCTTCCAGACTAAAACAGACTAGGAATAAAGGTCTGGTGACCAGCCAGTGAAAGAGGGTGAAAACACATCACATCATTCCAGCCAACCATGCGAATGGTGCAGTGCAGGCCCAGGCCTCAACCAATTATGCATGCGGTCAAGCCATGAGTTGAGTCTCAACAGCAGCGAACAACTGTACAAATTGATCTACGTGTGCATGACCAGCCCCTTACACATCCCAAGAATTGGTACTTTATAGACCCCAAGTCACATTCCAGTGCAGTAAAGAAGCGAGGTGGGAGTCTGGAGGGCTTATTTATAGATCAGGGAGGGATTAGGTATAGTAGGCTCAGTAAACTTGTGTTCACACATCTAACTCACAAAGCTACCCAAAGAACATAGTGATGACCTCAGTGTGACCTCTGCACTCAGGACACAGACTACTCTGAAAGACCCAGTTTGGGGGGCCCAACTTGTACCTGTTGGGGCTTCCTTAGCCGCCTGTCTCTTTAGGTATTAAAATGGAGGTGATGTAAATGGGA